CATGTGTGGTGTCCAACACATGGGAATCTTTCGAAAACTACAACTACCGATCTAATCATTCACAATGACTCATGCCATCCATTTGAACACAAAAAAGCAGCCATAAATTTTCTCATTAATCGGATGAATCAATATCCCCTTCCACAAAACAATAAAAACATAGAAGAAAACATTGTCAGAACTAAAAACATAGACGAAAACATTGTCAGAACTATCTTAAATAATAATAACTACCCACTAAATACTATACTACACACACACAAACCCTCCACAAAAAATACTACGTTGAAAAATAAATGGGCCACCTTTACTTATTTTGGCCATGAAATTAGATCTATTACTAAACTTTTCAAGAACACTGAGGTTGGTATCTCATATAAGACTAAAAACAATATAAAACATCTGTTGAAAATCAATGATGACAAAAATGATATGTATAATCTAAGCGGGGTTTATCAACTACAATGTTCTGACTGTCCATTAAAGTACATAGGACAAACTGGACGTACCTTTAAAATCAGATTCAAAGAACACACATGTGACATAAATAATAACGGACAAAGTTCCAGATTTGCTCAACATGTGTTGGACACCACACATGAATATAGTACAATAGACAAAATATTGGAAGTTTTACATATCGGTAAGAAAGGCTGAACCTTAGGTACTTACGAAAAGTTTCATATAACAAAATCAGTAAACAAAACCTACAACTGAATGACAACTTTACTGAAATGTTCAATCCAATATATGATGTTATAATCGATACACACAAAACGTAATATACAGTTATACCCTCCCCCTCACCCCTTACCATCACTTCCGCATACACGTTATTCCTATCCCCCCCTCCCACGCTTACATTGACCTTAATCCTACATCACCAAATCAGTCATTGTTTGCTTTCCGTGCAATACGGATAATTCTTCTTAATGACGAGGCAGCATTACACAGTAAGTAACAACATATACTCTATACTATATCTTCAATGTTAAATAATTTAATTATAACAAAATTTAACATTACTATTTTTATATTATTTTCAGATTC